TTTTCTTAGAAAAAATAGAAACACTGCTATACGTATAATATCAGTAAACAAGACTTAAAAGTAGCTTCAATTCAATATATGCTTGAGGGATTTCACCATTTTGAGATGCTGTGCAGTTAGTATTAACAGTACCATATGAGCGTTAGATAAAGCTTATAATTTTTTGGGAGCAATAAACTCTTACGGTTGTCTTCTCACTGACTACTGGCGTACGCAGCCTAGTCCTTTCACGTTCTTGGCTCGATCACTTCCTTAGCCCTCCTTCGTTCAAAGCTGCAACATTCTCCATCTATATGATATTGTAATTCCTATTATAAATTCAGTAACATCTCTAAACCTGAAGAAGGCTGGTGTGGCCAGTGAAAAAGCAATACTCGTTTATTACGATCAGCTTTGCAGTAGTCTTTGGACTTGCCGTTTTTTGGTTCTTAATGTATTAGCTAATTAGATCCCTTTTTCTAGAGATCCAACGTTTACAACCAGCAGGATTTGCGGGCTTTTGCAATAAATTTAATTCCTTTATCATTGGGTAAAGATAGCCCAGGGTAAGTGCGAAATTTAAATGCAGATACGAAAGCTTTAAAAGCAAATTCAATTTTATTATTTTTCCCTACGACTTGATGATTGCATAACCTTAAAAAATGAAGAAAATTACTTGGGAAAAATTCTTTTGAACAAAAAAAATGAAACCCCGGGGGAGCCCCTCCCCCCTTTCCCAGAAAAAAAATACGGATTAAAATTTAACCCTGAGTTAGCGCAGGAGGGCTCCTGGTTAGCGCTAATCGGCCTTCAAACAGGGCCCAGTTGTTCGAAAGATGGATAGCGCTCAGTCTATCCAGTGGATTCCTCCTAAGACTTATCCGCTGGATGCGTTTGAACAACCAGGGCCTGGACTCTACCACACTTTTTCGCGCGCTTCCAAAAATAGAACTATGGCCTGGTTCCCAAGTTTCTTCTCACAAGGGAGTGTTCTCGGAAGTTCTGTATTTCAAAGGCAAAGGAGCATAGAAAGATGTAAGTAGATTATTTCACGTCCTTTCTTGCCAGAAATAGCTATTTTAGTCTTTCATGGTCTCAATTATTGTTCATGGTACTGCGTGTTCATTTTAATTTATTGCGCTGGATATGCTTCAATCTGTAGCAGTTCGTTCGTTTTCTGCTTTGTTCTTGTGAAACCACCGTATTCGTTCGATTGTCAGAAATTTACATTTGTTGATGCGTATTGCTCAGCATATGTATACTATATTCGAGGTATTTCAAGGCTCTGCAATGCATTAGTATAATTTTCTGTTGAGAGGATGGCAAATTATCTCCAAACTTTTGGTTTGACCATGAAAATGACAAACAAACTTTGTCGTCGATCAAGGATGCGCTCTGTGACCTTTCGAGCGTTGTTTTTAGCCGTTTGATATTTCACTTTTCAAGAAAACCTCTCATTTTGGTAAACTCATAATTGTACCCCACTGAGCGGGTTACGTTTCCTTCAGAACTTTTACATTTGCTTTTTTAAGAAGCTTGAAAGCGAATTTACTGCATAAGCTTTCATTTTTATCAAATATTTGCTGTTCACAGAAAGGCTAGAAATCGGCAACCCGTCCAAAAGTGCCTAATATAACCTGTTAAAAAATTTTGACTGCTTCATATGCATCCAGTCTGTGTAACGTGGAGGCTGTGTGTAACAAAGGAAAATGCATGTCCTTTTTAATTGCAAATACGAATGATAATTCATTGTTCACGTACCACCAACATAAATTTTTTGTTAAGTCTTTTCTTTGTATGCAAAACAATTGATAGTAAGTGTAATATCAATAAACTCTTACCTCAAATGAGTTGTGGATATTTAACAGCTGATATGAAGTGTTGGAGTTCGGGGAGTGCATCATTTGAAAAGTAACATTAAAATGCAGAATGACACATTTTGCAGTGACCTATTTGTAACCATGGAAAACCCATAGTAAATTGGTCTTCCTTGTTTTCTATACATCTCCTCAAGCTTCCTTCAAAAGCTTTCTGTAAATTTCACAGCCCAGCAATTGTAAAAGCACAATAAAATTGTTTTGCTGTCTTTCCAGCAATGTCTGTACTTACCGCTAGTTTGTTCTCCACTTGTCAGTGTAGCACATCTATAAATTCCCTATTAAGCTTAATAACCCTGTAAGGAGATGACCAACGAGGTATTTTCTCTTCTTGGTCTCAAGAATGGAAGATTTGAAAAAAGAGAAGACATCTCATAAAGGGAGAAAGCTTCAGAAATACAGCCTTGAAATGAAGATTGAAGCTGTCAACTATGCAGAGTCACATGGCAATCGGCCAGCCTCAAAGGAGTTTCATGTGGATGAAAAGCGAATACGGGAATGGAGAAGTAAAAAGAGTGAAATTGAAGAATGCATTGCTACTAAAAGTGGAAGACAAAGAAAGAAATTAAAGGGAGGTGGAAGGAAACCATTTAACGCAAAACTTGAAGAACTGTTACTTGCATGGATTAGTGAGAGTCAAACTCAAGGACTTCAGTTATCCCCTAAGCTTATAATGAAGAAGGCGGAAAGTGTTTATCTTGATATAAAAGGAAGTAGTGATACCAGCGTTGAAGATTTCAAGGCTTCTAGAGGCTGGGTTACACGATTTATGGAGCGAAATAGTTTAATTTTGACAAGAAAGTCTTCTACGAAAACAGATTCACAAAGTGATATCGTTAAGAACTCTTATCCACATTGTGGGTTAAATCTTCTTGTACAAACCTCAGAAGACAGTTCAGTTCGGTCTGTTGAAGAGGGAAAATGCTATAGTAAGGAAGAGGAAATACATGCACCTCAATCACAGTTGAACAGCCCAAGTGAACAAGAGACAGTTTCTTTAGAACCTACACCTTCTCATGTGGAAGTGTCCTCTAAGCCAATGCAGCTACCAGGGAAAGATTCTGATCATGAAGGAGGCGGCATTACCAGTGATGTTAACTGATTCAGCTTTTTAACAATTTTAGTTTTTGACAATGTAGATATGTGATGAAAGAGACAAAAACAAACTGCTGCAGACTTAAATTTTGATATCTTGTGGCTGAAACATCATGTTTGATAAGCTTTCCATGTTGTGAGGTCAGGTGACTGCAATATTTTTTATTGTGTTTTAAGAGAACTCTCCTTCCAGGAAATCTTTGCTGTGTCTATGACACTCTTTGGTAATAAATATTAATTATTGTTGTACACTCTTAACAGTAGGAAGCAACCACAATGGCAATAGTGATGGTAGCCTCACTTAAATGTGAAGTTGTACTTTTTCAAACTGTATGGCTACGATTCTCTCTTATTCATTTTATCAAAGGTTGGCAAATTTTTTGAAGATGGATTCTAAAGGACTGTGTGTAAGTGTAGAAAAAGAACAATCCATCAACATCCTTCCAAAAACGTGAAATGTGGAAGTTTCATGTTGTAGTCATGACAATGATGTCTAAGAAATGAACAAAAAGCATGAATGCTGTGCAAAGTTGTTGTTTTGTGAATCAAAACCTGTTGCTTTTTGCCGTCCTCATTGCCACCGCTGCCATCGTTGCCTAATGCTTATCCTAGCAGGATGCAAGGAATGTGTTAATCATTAATCTGGTGAAACATCCTTTCAGGTAACACCCTTGGGACTAGGACAAAATGCCCCCTGTGTCCAATAACAGGGAGTTTAAGGTGTCACTATGGCGAGCACAACAAGAATAGTAAAAAAGCAATCTGTTTAGATTAGCAAAATGGTAACTTTGCATGTTTATCATTCTTACATTTCTTTACGATACTGCACAACTACAATTTGAAATTGCTTTTTATCAACAACATGAACATACAGTAACGCATTTATCTGTCTTTTTAAACTTGGATATTTGCTTGAAAATTCGACTCCAGGAGATTTTGCCAACATTAGACAAAGTGAATGAGTTGGCATAATTATTATACTGAATATTTTGCAATGAAGATTGCTTAGTCACTTTATACATGTAAGTGATGTTGTTGCTGGCATTACCATCTCCTTAATAACAACAATATTCAATTTATTTACCCATGAAAAACTAAGAAGCGTGTATAAACATGTACATGTAATCAGTGATTGAAAACTGTAGACATTGTTGACAAATATAAGAATATCTAAACTTACATCGTGTTTTCTTTTCAGTGGACTCAATTATAGCTGTAATCCACTGATGGCTCTTTTCGGACACATTTCTGTATCTTTCTTGTATCCTAAATCCACGTTTAGGTCAACAGTTGTGCTTAATTCTCTACATTGGTTCTTAAGGCTTTTGTATCATTCACAAAAATGATGGTTCTTAACATAACAGAGGTGCACAGTGAAAAAGACTGTTAAGTTTATTACTTTGACTTGCACATTGGTGAAAAAATAAATGGGATTCTTTTGAAGCAGTTCCTTGTTGTGCTTTGCACATTGCCTACTGCATATAACTCTGTAACATCAGAGGTGGGGGCAGTTTTCACTGGTGTAGTGAAGGAGGATGCATGATAAGAAAGACTGCTTTTGAAGTCCAAAGGGTTTCAATTGTGACAGTAATAACTCCTCCTTGTTCAAAATGTGTTGTTCTTAATGCTTGCCCTAGTCCCTTCTCTTAAAATGACCATTTGAAGCAGAAGTTACCCCCTTTTCTGTCTTGGTTTAATTTGTGCTCTCAACCTTGCTGAGTACATGTAATACTCAATTTATTATCCATTTTTTTGCATTCACCAAAGAATGTGTTTTCAATTTGATACAAGTTATTTCTAAATCAATATGTTGAAACACTCTTCCGGTAGTTTTCTATTTTACATATTACATTTTCTTTTTTAGAGTGTTTTATATCTTATTTTGATTAATTATTTATTCATTTTGGAGTAAACTTGCTGGAAGCTCAAAGAATCTTACACATTAAAGTCTGTTATTATGTCATTGTCCTAGCTCAAACATGACAATATTATTTTTACATCTTTCCCGATATATTTTTTTGTAGATCCTTGTTAACTTCACTGAGAAAAATGGCAGATGCTCCACCTTCACTTAAAAAAGTACGGGATGCATGCAAAAGAAGAGGAGCCACTGGCGCCAAAGGATTATCAAGGTAAAAAAAAGATTTTCAGGGATGATTCTTTAGTGACCCATACAGTGTCTACCTTATTATAGGAAATTAACGTTTCGTCACCTCCATCAGCGTGTAGAGGAACACAAACATTCCGCAACTGGCAAGCATTTCTTGGAAAAACACAACTTAAAACGGATGAATCTTAACACAAACTTTAAGGTCCTTAAGAAATGCCGAGGGAAGCTTGAGTGTCTGATCTTCGAAATGCTTATCATCAGAAACAAAAGACCTACATTAAACACTCAAGCGGACTCCATCCAGGCAAAACTTTTTATTTGATTGTTAGTTTGCTCCATCTTCACTCCGCAATTTAACTTGACAGATTCCTGACACTTTTTTTTCTGTGTACATATCACCAATTCATGCTAATTTTTTTTGCATTTGATAATGATGACATGGGGTCATGGAAACATCGTGTCACTTTTTTATCGTTGATTTTTCTTTTAAAATTAATGCAAATTTCAAAAGATCGTGTTACATCTGTACACTGTAATTTCTTCACCATTAATTAAGTGGAAGCATTAATTTCCATGACCTTAATTTCCATTATTTTGGACCAAAATTCTGGACACACTATTGACATTCTTGACAGCTAAGAGAGGAGTACCGTAAAATTCCAAAAGTAAGCCCTCGGGCTTATATTTTTCAAAGGCCCTTTTTGAGGGGCTTATTTTTGGAGGGGCTTATATTTGGAGGGGCTTATCTACGGAGCGAAATTTGTGTCTCAAAATCGATTGGGCTAGCCTTATAGCTGGAAGTAAATTTACCGTTTTTGCTTTGTTTTACTTTGCATTTGAGGGCAATTTTCCAATTAAAAGCCCCTGGGGGCTGATATTTGGAGGTGCGATTTAACGGAGGGTTTTTTACTTTGCTGGTTTGGGGGGAGGGGCTTATTTTGGGAATTTTACAGTATTTTATCAGCGTGGAGATCCACCAGTATCAGTAAAACTGTGAATAACCCTTGAAGTAGCCAGATTTCTTTGCTTGACCCCCTTATTAAATGTTCATAGGAAAGGGAGAGTACAATGAACAAAGTTTCTGTTTCAGATTATATGGTTAACTTTGTTCCCACTGTCTCAACAAGTTTTGTTTCTTTGTGAACCTCGCATTATTTTCCTTCATTCCGAAATGTGACCCCCTTTCTTTCGCATTGATTTCCTTTACTTGACATCGTTGCCATTAAATTTATGGTAATTTAAGTTATGTTAATTTCCAAAACCTTAATTTCATTGAGTGTTAATGTCCTATAATAAGTAGTGCTGTCAAGTCTCTTGGATAATCCGGGACACTCCAGATTTTGGACTGTATTTCCCGGTCTCCAGATCAGAGTATGAAATCTCCTGGATAATCACCGAAGTTTGCCATTATTTTCTTCAGAAGACACGACTTTCTGACAATAAAGTGTCAACTATTTTGGGTTGTTTGAGCTATTTAAAATTAATGTTAACATTGAACATTTTCTCATAAACTCCAGTATCCCATTGTTAATATTTGATTGGTGGGAAGTAAACCGATCAGGTCAAATGTTACAATACCAACCACATCTTTTCCGCACATTTTGTGTTATCACAAATTCGTGGTGATCAAAGTGAACGAGTAAGTTTTGCACAAATGACATCACGTGCCATGCTTTATGATGTTATCTATCATCCCTTCCCCATCAATTCTCAATATTTGAAGATGTGGGGGGTTGACAGCCCTGAATAAGGTAGTCACTTGCCTACAAAGAGGCAGCATGGGGAGTGGTTAGAGCACTAAACTTGTAATCAGAATGCCCATAGTTCAAAACCTGTCTTGACCTATCATGAGCTGGAACTACTTGTTTTGGTAGTCCCGTCAAACAGGAATTATTTTATTTTGAGTGCACTAACTGTAAACTTGCTAGTCAAAGGCAGTAATAATATTGAAATCCAAATCAGTCATATGATAATTAAAACCCCACAGGGCTGTTAATATGGGCCGGTTCCTTAGCCGGCTACTTTCATCTCCTTCTACCATATCTGCTAACAAAAAATAAGCACCATTGCATAAAATTGTAAAGCATCAGTTTCCCAGTTTTGAATGACATTGAGCACATATTTAAGCAGTTTAGATCTGTGAAATGTTTGAACCATGCGGTGTTGTGGAACGCATGGGACATTTTGACAGCATTGTTCCCAGTCTTGCATGTATTCCTACGAAACAACATGGCATCTGTGGTGGGAAATACCTCTTGAAAACCCCTGCAAACGTGATTTCAGAGACTCTAAATTTCAAAATGTCCCTAGATTCCTTGGCCCTAAGAAACTTGTGTCTTTGGTTTGAGTTCCAAAGCTGCCTACAATTCATAATCAGCCTGCTAATTAAAAAATTTTTGACAGCCTTGACCCCACCCTGCTAGCAGAGTCTTTCTTTCACTTGCTTGATTTTGGTGTACTCAAGAAAGACTGCATGAGTAGTATCTCCTTGTACATGCACTTGCTACATGTTGCTGGGATACAGGCCAAACAGTCACACGCGTCGTACAGCAGGCTCAGTTTAATGACCATCGCTTTATCAATAAATTGTTTCTCACACTTAAAAAGACAGTTTGAACAGTGATTTTGTTACAGTTTGCTAATTGTGAGTCCTGGGACTCATCCTGTAAAACATCATGAGTCCCAGTTCAAAACACAGTGAGTCCTTACTTTTATATTAAAAGATTCCACAATTCCCATAAAACCAGACTATCACGTTTTAATCTGTTGTCCATTATCAATAGCATTAGCACTTATTTCTGCAACACAGTCATTATTGTCAATGAACTAAAATCAAATTACAGTCTTTCTAGCAAAAAATAGAAAACAGTAATGCTGTCACTGTCGGGAACACTCTTGGGTTTTTAGTTGTTTGGAGAGATACCTAGCCAGTGTCCTCGAAAACTTATCTATTTTGTCCTGGCATAGGAGAAAAACAGTTTTGGGTGGCATTTTCGAATTTTCATATTAACGTTAACAAGACATAGTTCTTGAAGCTTAGAATCAGTTAGAAGAAAGCTTTTTCGTACTACAAAGCACCATGTCGGCCATCATGGTTCAGCCACGTGCTTTTTACATATGGCAAACATAATGAGTAACCACTCCATCAGGTAAATAAACATGGCCGCCTTTGAAAAAAATCTTATCAGAGAATTTGCATGAAAATATGTTTATCTGTTCATCCAAAAATTGTTCTTAACCTATTTAACAAGCAGACGATATTACTCTTTTGTTTTGAGGTAGCTCTCAATACATATTTAAATTTTCACAAACAGGGCATTCTTCGAAAACATCTTTAGATTGATCAATCTATCGATTGTTGCATCTCAAAAGACACAAGCCATCAATATTATTATTCTGCATCCTTGAGAATTTTTATGTGTCAGGGACACAGGGGTAACAAAATTAAGCTGTGGCACTGTGTCAGCTTCAAAGGCTTGGTGCGATTCAAGGGGCTGTGTCATGGCAGTCCAGTTCATTTTGTTTAATTTTGCCAGTTACTAGCCCTCAATCGCTACAGAAATTAAAGTAAGCAAAGAAATTACATTTAATCACAAAATCAGAGATTCGAAACAGACAAATATGTCTCCTGAGCATTATTTTTGAAGTTGCAAACAGCAGAGATCAGTTAGACTGAACAGTTAGACAGAACAGTTTTCAAAAACCCTAATTTCAATCCGTTTCAATTGTCTTCAGTTTTGCCCATCCGTGGCATCTGTTGTGTTATTTTAACCTTCCCTTAATGTTTTAAGTGGTTATTTTTACATGTCTCTTAATTTAATGGGCATTTTGTAATTACCTAATTAGGCTGAATTTCATGACTCAGCTCCTTTAAGACAGAGCCTCCTTCTTTCCTCCTTGATCAAGAAGACAAAAGGAAGCTCTGCTCACAGAGTGTTAAAACCCCCACTGGCATAAGATAAACCATACCAATTACAGGGGCGGGTCTAGGTGGAGGGTGCCAGGGGTGCGCGCACCCCCCCCCCTTTCCCGAGATGACCTGCCGCTTTCTAATACAACTCGTATTCTTGTGGTTTATTGGTGTTGAAGTAGAGCAAGAGATGAGTGCACCCCCTCCTAAAAAAAATCCTGGATCCGCCCCTGAGTTAGGTATTCCCACAGAAGATAATGGCCATGCTCCAAGCTGAATAGGGAACTTAAGCACCAGACATTCTTGATTCAGAACGGCATGGCTTGCCGCGCAGAACTGGATCAGGGACATGGTTTGCATGCGAAATGCAAATCATTAACCATCACGAACACCAACAGAATAATTCAGTTGAAAATGTCTGTCAAAGATTTGCGTTAGGTTTTGTTTCTTTCTTACAAAAGAGAACATGGTTTTAAACGAAGAATTTCCACTTTTGTTTGACGAATGTTCTTCGAAGAACCCAGAATTTGAACCTGAAAACTCGCGTTTTGAAGTCTGTGACCGCAGCTCAAGAATGTCTTGACATGCGCAGTGGCTGTCATGCGGCAAAAATACTTCTGGTTGGTGTGCGTGGTACCAAGAACGTCTAGTGCTTAAGTTCCCTAATGATTTTCAAAGTCACCTTTTGGTGACTTGAAATTATAGAACAGTTGCCAGACATTGATCACCATAATGCAACACTACATAAACGGTTTAAAATCTAAATGGCTGTTCAACTATCACAGTCAAATTTTGAGTTGCTAGACACCTCAGGACAGGCTTCATACCTCAATGACCAGGGTGAAAGAGAAGAACTGTGTAGAAACCAGAGTCTATTAATTAACAATTATTCCACGAGTGTGTATTGGATATGAGATGGCGGATAGCCAACAAGGCACGTAGCACCAAGTTGGCTATAATCATCTCATATCCATCAAGGGCAATTAGTATAATTTATTGTTTTCTTAAAAATGCCCACAAAATATCGAGAATTCTTCCCAACTTTAATTATTGGTAAAAACAACCGATTTTCAGCTTGTTTTTAATTTTGTACAGTTACTATTTTGGAGAGCATGGTATAATATACACTTAATGTCAGATCCCGAGGGAAACAGTTAGTTTTGTTTTCCCAAGAGTCCTGATGTTTCCCGAGACGAAGTCAAGGGAAACATCAGGACTCAAGGGAAAACAAAACTAACTGGTTTCCCGAGGGACCTGACATTAAGTGTTTTGTTATATTTCTAGACTTTCACTTCAACAGCAACAAAACACATGCAATAACCGGAGCGAACCAAAACAGTCGACTCGGTACTCATAACAACACAAATTTAATTCTCAAAACCACTGAATGAATGATTTACAAACAAAAGTACTTTCCTCATATTATCTGCATCTTTTTCCTCCACTAGCTGCTGTTTTTCTTCTGGGAACTTCTGGGATAACTTTAAAAATCGTTGCTTTTTAGCTTGAGGCTTCGTTTTTGTGTTGTTGTGTTCAGTCACGAAAAAGAAAACTGGCAGGACCTGGCGGTGTTTTTCCCGCCTTCTGTCACACCACTTTCCACCATGCTTTGATCACGTGCTGCAATGTATCCCGAGCGGGATACATTGTTTAATGTATCACGATCGGGATACATTTGATTTTAGTCAAGGCCACGTGACCAAGAATCAACCAATGGCAGTCCCTGTTTCGTTGAGTGAAAGTCTAGGAATATAACAATGGCTCATATACCATGATGGCTAATTAAGCCAATCAGAACTCTAGAATTGCATCATCTGGTTGATTCAGTTTTTCATAAATAATAATTATTGCTTCGTGCAAATGTTTACCTTACTTGACCTTTACAAAGGCTGTAAATCACTAGTAAATTAGTAAAAACAATATAGGTTACCAAATTAAATAAACTTCTGCAGCAATTTCACTTACCAAAAGTTTTTCTTTCTTTGTGTATCGTAGGGTGGTACAGTTGTGTTTATTTTAGTTTGCATTTTGCAGAGCTTTTCGTATCTATGATGACGACGGTTCAAAAACCCTGAATCGTGATGAGTTTTTTACTGGTCTTCAGGATTATGGAGTTACTCTGACAGCTGAGGTATGAACTGCACTTTCATATCACACTTTTGTTGCCTTTTGATGCAAAAAAATTATTCAGCAGATACATTTAACTCCTAGTAAACCAGTTACTCAAGCCCTCGCTAACTTATACTAAAGTCGACTTCCCCTGGATTTTTTATATTATTAATTATTTATTTATTTACAATACTTTCAGATTATTATAATACAATACAGCTGTACTTACAAACTTACAACTTTCACATATAATAATACACCTGCAGAACATACACCAACATTAAAAAAAGGAAAAAAAAGACTCGGAAAACATCTACTTAGAATACGCTTACAGTATTTACCATCTCACTATCACAGGATTTTTGTCTTGCATTTACTGTAATTTGACCCTAAGTAACTTGAAACCTCAATAACTCAAACCTTCTGCTAACTCGAAGCAATTATAATTATCAGGGCTTGACACTAACACTTACCCGTTCACCACTGGAAAGTAATATTTCTGAGTGGAAAGTAAAAAAAGCAAATGAACCAAAAATACTTGCCCGATCGGGCAACTACTTCTAGACAACGCGGGAAAGTAGTTTTTTTTAAACACCCAAATAAAAAAGAAAAGAAAACGAATGTGTTTAGTTATTACAAGTGAGCTTCCTTGTTAAACGTCTAAGTTTCGCGTTTTTCTATCTCCGTCATTCTGGAATTGTCAGTGACATATCGAGAAACCCTGGGTACGAAATAGATGATGCAATCGACTGTGCTCGCCATTTTGCCTTTCACATGTGGACTAGTAAATAAAACATGAGTGTTTTAAGCGCGCTGGTGAGGTTAACAAAGGAAACTCCGAAATTGACCAAGAAAGCAACAAAGAGGAGAACAGACTGAAAATCAAACAGCTGGAGCATATTCAAAGCAAGCGACGCCACGATGGCTTAAGGAGTTTCCATGGCTGCAATGCAAGGAAGACTCGGAACAGAGTCTTAATTTTGTTATGTTTCTACTATGGATAGTGGAAAATATGATTCTTTCATTTTTGGAAAGTAAAATTTTACTATTATGGAAAGTAAATTTTCATATCTACTTTCCACAGTGGCAAGTTATGTCAAAAGTTAGTGTCGAGCCCTGATTATTTTTATTTCCCTGCAGATCATTTCTATATACAGTGAAACCTCTATTAAGCAGACCCCCAATTAAGTGGACACCCTCTATTAAGCGGACACCAAGCCAGATCCCAAAATGAACATCTGATATTTCCCTTTATAACGAACCCCTATTCAACGGACACCTCTATTAAGTGAACCCGGACACTAAAATAAGTTTTATTTGGCTAATTTCTATTGTTAAAAACCTCTATTAAGTGGACACCGGACTGAATTGACAATAGTAGTGTCGGATTACGTCCTTGAAATACTGTACGCACTGAAGTCAGTTGATGTTTTTGCATTTACAAACAAATTAAAGTTGGTAATAAAAGGTAATGAACTTGAACTCTGGATAGCTTCTTTAACAACATGCAACTTTATCACAGTACAGAGTAACCATTGAATGTTGATTGTTAACAAACATTGTGCAATTTTTACAACCTCTGTCGAGCAGACACCCTCTATTAAGCGGACAGTTGGGAAGGTCCCGAAGGTGTCCACTAAATAGAGGTTTCACCGTAATTTTATCCTAAATCTTGAAACAAAACTCAAACCACATCTGTCAAGCACTTGACAAGTCAAAACAGACATTACTGTAGTCCTAAACATTGACTTTATCTTAATGCAGCTGTGTATTCTTTGTTTTTGTTTTGCATTGGCCAAATTAATACTAAAGGCGAATTATCCACATAGACAGATAATCCATCAGATGACTAATAATGGTCATCATTTGTCTAGGTATAAATTTGTGGTATAGTTACCAGTCTCCCCAAGTCAAACTGAATCATCATTTCTGTCTAGATATAAATTTAGAGACGGATTAACTGTCTCAGATCAGTGTGCAAAGAAAGTACTGTCCGATAGCCCGGGGCTAGTGGATTTTGCTATAGGGCTAGAGAATTCTGTTCTTAACTTGCCCGACGGGCAAGTGAAGTTTTTTGAGGAATTCAAATTACCGAAGAACTGTGAAATCAATCTGCTCATCAAATGCTTTTGGGGCTAGTTGAAATGTTGTTTGGGCTAGTAAATGTAAGCTCCAGCTTGCCCGAATGGCAAGCTGTAAAAATGACTTTTTTGCACCCTGTAGATGAGTTACGGGTTAGTAGTACATGTCTAAGAAACATGAACAAACCACAAACTGTGCAACACCATTAATGTGCCACACAACAGACACAAAGTTAGTTTTTGTAGGTTGATATTGATTCTTTGTAATCCGTTTTAAAACTTTCCAGGACAATAGATAGGAACAGGTCTACTGAGAAGCATTAGGGTCAAAATGTTATTATCATTTTCTTGAAAAAGTAGATCGCTTGCCTTGCTTTGTTTTGTTTTGGGTCACGTTACTTTCCTTGAATTTGCATTTTCACTTGACTCCTCTACAATATTTTTATTTCATTTGATTGAAATGCACACTGTACAGTGACACCTTTTTTTCCCTATTCAGGGGTTTCTTTAAAAATTGAAGTAGCCAGCAGGTTTGAATAGAGTAACTGACTGTGTATCAGCAAGGGACCGTTAATCACCTTTTTCTAGGGGAAAAGTTTGAAATTTCAGAGCCGTAAAATGTGATTTTCAGCATTCTGGGGACGAAATGTGACGACTAAAAAGCGTTTTTTTTTTTTTTTTTCATTCAAAAAAATGTAGCTTTCAATTTATATGTCCCACAGTCAATTCCTACAAGCAATGAACAAATGAACATACTTTTGCACGTGAACAAATTCTGCGTAAACCTATAAAAGAAACTTGTGAAAAAAATGTCCAAAATATAGTGTTCACATGACTTAAGCACAATAGAAAACTAGTGGGCCCTTACGAAAACACATCATAATTACGTTTTCATTCAGGTTTTATGATATATTTCTTGTCTACAACGTTATTCAAACTGGTTGCTTCTTCTTTGTAGTGTGAAGTCGCCAACTTTTCTGAGCAAAGTAGCCAATGCATTTCGTCGGCCGTCGGTGCTTATTGAAACCCCTGCTTATTTCCGTAAATTTGCTTGGAAAACCCAATAACTCAAAACACCCAGTACATAAGTCAGCCAATGACCCTTTAGAATTTTGCACAATGCATGAATGTTGAACATGAAGATATACAAGTATTTACTGTGTGTGGTTGAAGACCAAGGGCAAGGGCTTTCATGAAGGAAAGGAATGGGCCCTTTTGTAATATTTTGGTCAAATGACCAGTTAACTTAATACTTGTCAAGTTAGAGCTGTTCTATATTTTTCCATGGGAAGAGCATACTTCAGTTAACTAGGGCTCAAAATTTCAGTCCAGTGTAGCCTGCACAATGGTGAGATTTTCACACTTACCAATGAAATGTTTCATATAGAGGTAAGTAAGCCTTGCCACCCAGAAACATTTTCTATTTTTAATCTTTTGAAAAAGAAACAGATGCTATATAACATAACTTAAAGAAACAAGAAGAGAGTAAAAAATGAATTACTCTTAGCAGAAAATGTGTGGCTTGTGATGTGCAAGGGGGGATTTTACGATGGTAAATCAGTGAAAATTCATGTGATTACCATAGCAATGTTCCTACATTTAAATTCTTATTCTTTTATCTTTTTTCAATCCAGGAGGCTGAGGAGCTGTGGGCCTATTTTGACAGAGATGGAGCAGGTGGAATTAACATTGATGAGTTCATTCTTGCTTTCCGGGTAATTAAATAAGTAAAAGTAGAGAGACATGTAGCAGATCCACAAAGTGGTTCTTCATCTACCAATCCTAGTGAATTGAAAGTTGGAGATGTTGGTTTTTGAGGAGGGGGAAACCAGAGCATGAGAGAGAACCAACAACAAACTCAACCCACAGAGTCAATGGCGGGATTGAACTTGCGTCAGTCTCACATTGCAGGTGGGAGGCGAGTTCTCTCACCACTGTGCAACCCTTAATCTCAGGGCCAGCGTGCAAAGAAAGTAGTGTCCGATAGCCCAGGGCTAGTGGAATTTGCTATCGGGCTAGTGAATTCTGTTATTAACTTTCCCGATGGGCAAGTGATCTTTTTTGAGGAAATCGAATGACAGAAGAACTGTGAAATCAATTCTGCTCTTCAAAAAGCTTTCAGGGCTAGTTGAAATGACGTCTGGGCTAGTAAATGTTAGCTTCAGCTTGCCCAAATGGCAAGCTGTAAAAATGATTTTCTTTGCACCCTGAGGGCTCCCAAAACATGTAACATGTTATGTAGCTCTCCATCACCATCCCTCCTTGTGTTTCCAAAATGTTAATCACATGGCTTGCACATTGTAGGACTTCAAAAGCAGATTTCTTGTTGCTTTCGTTTTTTTCTTTCCTTCTAGGAAAGGCAACCAGTTTTTGAAATGTTCAACACACCTTAAAATCTGCTACTTTTTTGAATTTCTTGTTGCCGTCACCCTCTTCATTGCTTAGGCTTCCTATTTTTTAAGTCCCTAAAATTAATATATGTGCTCCACACTCAGTCCTGGAAAGGTAGATGTTTTTGTGGAAATGATTGAGCTAGACAGTGTTCTCCAGGAACTTAAAGCAGAGGGAGAAAAAATTTAAGTAGGTGCCACTAGTTTGCATTGGGGCTGGTTTTTCAAAGCTGGGTTAAGATAACCCAGGGTGTGTGAAATTTGAATTCAGGTATGAAAGCTTTAAATGCAAATTCACTCTTAATTCTTTTTGTCTATAATTTGATGATTGGATGCTCTATAAAGAATGGAGAAAATTATCTGAGAAAATGCCTTTAAACAAATTAAGAAAAAGAAACCCAGATTTAAATTTAACTCTGAGTTAGCACTAATCAGCCTTCGAACAACTGGGCCCAGATCAATAGGTGAAGAGTACCTTTCATGCATCACACCCGTTGGTCAGGAAGGGCATGCTTTGGGGACATCCCCCTTGGGAGCCCTGAGAAGTGCATTTAACCCTTTAAGCCCCAATATCCACATACAAATTCTCCAAACTGATCTCTATACATTTCCTTCATGGATGGGTTGAGAGAATTTGATAAAAGATTGAGGCATTTTCTCTTAGGTGATCAGTTTAGTAATTCTCATAACCTAATCTCTGGACAATCTATGGATATGGTTCAGAGAAAATTGATGTTGGTCACCATTGGGACTTAAAGGGTTGAGTGCATTTTGATCAGGGAAAGAATTGTAGCCATATGGATGGCACCTTAATTCACCTACATGTATTTTAATAATATTAAAACTTAAATTATTTATGTTTGTTTTTGTCCCACAAAACTGTTGAAAAAACTTCATTTTTGTTTGGTGTAATGAACAGACTCGGACATGAGTTTTTATTGGTTTAGCCATGAGCATGATACATGCCACAAAACCTTAATGGCTATTTACTCAACCTACAGAAACCCTTGGAAGGTTCAAGGTTAAAAATTGTCAAACAGGCATTTAAAAAAGCTGACAAGACAGGAGATGGTGTTATAAACTGTAAGGATTTAAAAGGGTAAGTTTGTTTAAGCCTGTATTAAACGTTGGTCCATTCTTTTGCAAAATTAATCTCATTTGCCTGTTGTCTTGGCCCCGTTTCAAACGTTGTGCTACTGCTGTGCCGAACTCAATTGATCGAATTAAATTCGACTTTAGTACGGCAGTAGCACGACATTTGAAAGCAAGTCGTGCTAATGCCGTGTAGCGTGGCAAGCCTTGCCATGCTACACGGCAGTAGCTCAACTTGGTTTCAAACATTTTGCTACTGCCATGCCGAACTCAATTCATAAATTATAAGCTTAGCACGGCGGTAGCACAACGTTTGAAACAAGCCTTAGTATATTTTCCCAGGATGCAAGCTTTGAAAACTTCCTTCGCCTGAGCTCCAGAGCAAGCAATTTTTCATGACCACATTTTCTGTTATAATGAATTGATTTTTTTTGTCATTTGGAGTGGATTATTTTGATATTATTATATAAACACCAATGAAATACCAGGTGAGCTTTCGTGCGAAAACTTGATATCTTCACATGTGAAAATATCACCTTTGCTATGGCTACATAATAAATTGCGCCTTTCACACCTAAAAACTATTAAAGTGAAATGGTTTGGCATTTCATTAGTGTTTATATAATAAATAGAACATTGCATGGCCACTTGGAGATGCGAAATTTCTCTTCTCATGTTGAAAAAATATTTCACTTGTTCGCTGCACTCACTCGTGAAATATTTTTCAACACTCGAAGAGAAATTTTGTATCTCCGCACGGCCATGTAATATCCTCTATTAATCCTTGGTTCAAATTCTGTTTTCTTTTGCTTTTGGGTATGGTAATGTATGATAATAACATGATAAGGAGTCTAAAACAAAAGAATAATTAAATTAAACCAAGGATAAAATTGAACCACAACATGTACATTATTATTTATCAAGACATATCTTCACAAACAAGTTTTTAGTGGAAGTTAGTTTTAATTATCTGTCACCGTTTCTTGCAGAGGCTACAACTGCAGAGAGCACCCCAAGTATAAAAATGGAGAAATGACAGAAATGGAGGTATTTCAGGAATTTTTAAAGAACTTTGAGCCAGACCAGGGAAAAGATGGACAGGTTGGTTGTCTTCATTGATTGATAGTCATAAATATTAAACGGGACAGGTGAAATTTCTTGGCACAATTTTAAACCATATTGATAACTTCCAAGACTGGTGAAGATCAGGAGTGCTCTATAGTTACTGAGCTACATGTACAGAGAACTCCATGGGTTTCATGGGGTGCACCAAAACCTATGTCCGATTGTCTAGGACAGGTAGAAATCTAGTTCGGACGTGTAAACCTTTGACATAACTTGTCTGTGGGACAAGCACATTTTTAAGTAGAAAAAATACAAAAACAGTTTAAAATTGACTTCAAATTTCAGTAAAATTAAAATTTATCTTATAGTTATAAATACAAACCTCATACTTGACAAAATATGGTAATCTTCCTTTAAACTTCGCCATTCCACGGCCATTTCATTTTGTTTTTTCACGAGTTCCATTTCAGGTGGAAGTCAAAAACAATTTATAAGGCTAGTAATGTCATTAGAAACATTAAATGCCCAATTGTTTTTGAGTTTCAAGTTTCAAGTTTCAAGCAAAAGTTTTTGGACAGGAACTCTTAAGTTTCAGACAACCAAATTTAACCCTTTAAGTCCCAATAGTGTTCAACATCAATTTTCTCCTAACAATATCCATACACTGTCAAGAGATAAAGTTATGAGAATTAATAAAATGATCACCATAGAGAAAATTCCATGATATTTTATCAAATTCTCTCAACTAATTCTTAAAGTAGATGTATGGAGATCAGTTTGGAGAATTTGTATGTGGATATTGGGGCTTAAAGGGTTAATATAGTGCTTGTCCAAAGGACAAGTGGATAAGAAATATATTTTTCTCTTACTCTGTTTCACCATTAATTTACAAGGCCCTGTTACAAGGGGGTAAGGGCAAAAAAAGTTCCATCCAGTTGTCCAGGACAAGTAGATTTTCTTGCTGGGAAAGTAAAGACAAACAGGCAGTGGTCCCTGGGGCCTGTTTCTCTAAAGTCCCGGTAACGTTTTGGGTCCAAAAATCTGTTTTGTGTTTGCATCCACGATCAAAGTCTCAATAATTTTGAAAATAATACAACAAAACTATCAGTTAGCAAAGCAAAATTGACTAGTTTGTGAGCTAAGAACTGTGCTACTATTCAATAGGTTTTGATTTTAAAATTTTCCTTCGTTCCCAAAAAGTTTCCGGGCCTTTTGAGAAACATACCCCAGGCAAGCAAAATGTGAGAGCTCGTTTGGACAAGCTGGAATTCAATTTTTTGTTAGCCCTGAAGGGGTGGGGGTGGGAGGGGGTGGGGTTAGTGGTTTAAATCAAAATCTGTGACAACATTTTGCAATCCTTATTCTTGCAGCTTTTTGTAAGTCAGAGCAGTTAACAGCATGTTTACAGATTGAATGTTATTGTTCAACATCTACTAAACAGATTAACACTCATCTTTATAGTAATATTTCTTGTTCAACATTGTTCATATATGATTATATGATTTTCATATATTCATAACTTCAATGTTCAACTTGTCGAATGGCCTATCTCAACAATCAACATGTCACGTAGTTACACGTAATCAAGAGATCAGGCGTTTCTGCACGAGTCCTTGAGAAAGTTAGGCAGAACAAGAGAAATAATATTGCTGCGACTCCCTAAGAGAAGAGCAAGACAGTAATCTTTGGGCCTTTTGCGGTTTCTTGTGTGTCCTGTTGCTATTAATAAGGCTTTGCAAACTGGATTTGTTTGTCGGGGTGACTTTTCACGAGGACATGTATGTCCAGCAGTGTCATCATTATTTTATTTCAGATCATAACACTCTTATTGCATTATTCTAATACTACTAGTAGTAAGCAAAGGTTACGAAGTATGGGTGACAACAAAATGCTCTTGCTCCAACACTGCTTTGTGTAATTTTCATGTGATAGATGGTCAAAACACACAGATAAGATTTCCAGTGATAGAAGGTCTACATGCACATGACCAGATTGCCTTCTATGCATTTCATTCATTCTCAGTGGGAGTCCAAACAAAGCTGGCTACATAAAGGCCCTGCCAGGGTAAATTCCAACTAGCGACATGGCCCAAAAAGTAGCGACAGCGCGTAAAATGAAATCGCGATGAGACAACCTCCTTCGCCCAAATTGTGACAGTGATGGCAAAACCGACAATAAGCGACAAGCATTTATAAACACTGACACGAGACGTTTTAAAATTCAGACAGGTGACATGGACCCCCCCCCCTGGCAGGGCCTCTACATACAAGCCCGGGGGGGCACTCCCATACATTACCTATACGGGTATGTGCCGCCCAACGGGGTCGTGATTTTGAAGCTCCTGATTTAGAACGGAGTATCCATTTCAGAGGCGTTTTGTAGAACGGGGTATAAAAAAATGTGTATCACAGCTTTATCTTCTGCTTAAAATTGTTGCTGGTTATGAAGAAGCATTTATTTGATGTATAAGTCGAACAAAGAGAGAAACATCTCTTTAAAAAAACAAGTCTATTTCAATTTACACACTTTCTGGAACGGAGTATAAAAAATTGGCCCATTTCTAGAACGGGGTATCAGTTTTAGGGCAAATTCTAGAACGGGGTATAAAAAATTGGCCCATTTCTAGAACGGGGTATCAGTTTTAGGGCGAATTCTAGAACGGGGTATAAAAAATTTGCCCATTTCTAGAACGGGGTATCAATTTTTGGGGAAATTTTTTTAGAATGGGGTGGCAATTTGGAGTCCCGGGCAGCACATATCCACCCAAAAAATACCCAAGTGCCCCCCAGGGGGCATACAAGAACGTGCCATGCACGCATATAGGATCGTACTAATTTTGCACATTATGGCTTAACTACTAACTGACCAATAAAACTAAAGGGTCTGTAATTAACAATGTATGCTACTTCATCATTATTTTCTCAGATGAAGTGTTACTGCCAGCATCTGCTTCCAGCCCTATACTTACAATTTGTAACCTCTAGTTATATTATTGTTCTTTGGTATTAATTTTTAGGTCACAGAGAAAGAATTTTGCGAGTACTACGCTTGCCTTGGGGCAAACATTGATAACGACGCCTACTTTGATCTCATGGTTAGAAATGCTTGGAAGATATAAACATCAGTAAAGCTCTTTCTTTGAGGGAGTTCTCAGTTTCATTTTCTTAATGCTTTACTTGCATAATTATTGTTGACAAAATTCAAGAAATTTCCCAGAATTTTTATCATAAAATACCTCTCTCCTTTGAAGAATAGCTTCATGATAGGAAAATGATTGCATGGCAGACGATGAGAAGAGAGAAATGCTCTATTTTCTTTCAATGTCCTTCACATTGTCCCCAATATTCTTTCTTTTTGTTTCTCTCTACCCATCCTCTTACAGGGGTGGTGAATGGTACCTCGAAAAACGTGGGTCTTGGAAAAATTTTAACAGGATCTCGAAATCTCGGAAGCATTTTTGATAAGTCTGGAAGTCTCGTTTTTGCATGGTTTGTCTTTACTTTTTTTGAGTCTCGAAACTTTTTACCAAAGAGTCTCTGGCTCGGATTTCTAACTAGGGTCTCTGCGTCTCGGTGAGTCTCGGATTTTACCATTCGCCACCCCTTCTTACTGCAAAGGAGAGACTGCTGGCTATAAGCTAAATCACGATAGATCTTTTTACGGATGCGGCAGCCATATTGAATTTATTAGATTTAAGGAGTATTATGGGATGCTCAGGGGGGCACTCGCTCAGTATTTGCACGCGTTTTTTAAGCAAAAAGAGAACTTCACTGTATATTTCTCGGGGAAAAGGCGATAATTATTTCAGTCCAAACACAGCACAATGATCTTTTTTTACCCATTACAATCTTTTTCTACGAAAACTTAAAGAGAGATTGGCCCAAAAAGCATGCCTAAATCTGGAGCGAGTATGTCAGATCATGCTCATGCCCCCTGGGCATCCTATAATACTCCTTAAAATTAATATAATAATTCAATATGGCTGCCATATCAGTAAAAAGGTCAATTATCAACCGCTGTTCAAGATAAAGGACCCCCTCCTCTCCTAAAGGGAGGCACGAAGCTGAACTTAAGAGCAGTGGAAATTGTGCCCACTGCAGAGGAGATCGATAGATAAAATATTGCAAAACAAATAGTACTGTCTATGTAAAATATGGTACTGTTAGATTTTCAGTATTTTATGATATGAAATCTGGAATTTTTTATTCTTGAATTTGATTTTAAGCAGTCTTTGGTTCATAACTTTCTTCTGAGCTTTAACAATTCCTCAATAGGAAATCAATAGACTACTACTCCTCAAAAGTATCTACTAACTGACAAAAGGCCCTTTTCACCCATAGACACACGTTTGTGCCCTGGGAGAGCACAGCACACCCACACGGGCAGTTTCCCACAAATTTCATATTGTTTTCGTATTGTTTTATCGTTGACAAGTCAGTTTTTCTAGATGAAAAAGGAGAATTTTTTAAACCTTTTTGCTTCTGATTGTTTTAGCAGCATTAAAGTAGTAACAGGAGTTGCAGCATTTAAATAGCAAAGTGAAACATGAGAGCTCAAACACCATGATGATCCTGAAATGTGGTTTATTAATATATTGGTAGTTTTATTGGGGCAGCATATAATGTTAACTTGTTAAAATGTACAAGACATGTAATGCTTTATTACAGTTTTCAGAGTGAAACTTTTAGTGAAGTAAAGTAACTTTGGCTTTCCGCACTCATCACCAATGACAAACAACCCATGAAGTGTAAGAAGTACTGCTCGATTACGCAGTTTCTCCTTCTTGTTTTTACCATGCTTTTGTGAGTTTTAGTTAAACAAAATCGTTATATTTGCAGAGAATCTGTCCAATTTTGTTGTTAGATTCTCTAGTCGCCTGCATGTTTTAATAATCTTTAGTCATGCTTGTATCTTAAACTTAAATTGTTGCTTGAAATAAAGTTTTAAAACCTTTTATTGTTTCATTGTGTTAGTTATTTTGACAGTTTGTGTTACAAATTGTTGAATCTCATTTGAAGTGTATGTATGTGTGTGTTGGAGGGGGTCATATGATAACATATTTTGCAGTTAAATTTCGACCTTTTCCAATTAATTCAACTCAAACTTAAAATCTGAAATATATGCAATGGACAAAGTTGCATATTTCTTTGTCATGTGTGACTGAACCTTTTAATGAAAAAATGCCTAGTGGCCTACCAAGAGAAAGGTGTAAAACAACTTTCTTGAGAATGGCGAGCCCAAACTAGACTGTACATTCAAACGAGGACTGTGTTTGGCAGTCATGCACGTTAGACCACAAGCGGTCGTCCTTTCTTTCTTTAGAGCCACGTGCAGTAAGCGATAAAGTAAAATTATGCAAATTAATGATGAAAGGGGGCGAGATTTGTTCCTCATGGCTTCACCACTTGCCCCCCTCACGAATGCTCTTGATCTACTGTGACTCAAAAGAAAACGGTTCCTAAGAATTGGTAAAAGGTACCAGCCAAGTTTGGTAAAAGGTACTAAGACAGTTGGGTAAATGGAGGCTCGCCTGTCTCCTTAGTTTGACAAACCTCTTTTCTATTTTATTTATTTACCCTAGCCTCCTTATTGTGACTCCCTTTTCTCTCCTTATCCTTCCCCCCATTCTTTAAAGCAAGACATTGATGCCTGAAGAGGAGACTATCATATTTACCCCTTCTCTGCACAAAAGGAGAAATCAGGACAGAAACTTATGTCAGTTAGCAACTGACTGATCAATGAGGCACTGTTGGGGTAAAATTGCAACCAGCGACATGGTTTTGAAGTAGTGACATACGACAGATGAAAATGGTGACAAATGACACAAAGATAGGTTGAAATGGTTGCAACAGGGACAAAGACAACTGCATAAAACATTATACTAAAATATGGAAAGGGACATGGGTTTCTCCTCAAAACATGAAACAGTGGATTTTGAAATTCAGACTGAGACTTATGTGCCCCCCGCCTGCCCCACCCCTAGGGGGAACACAATAATATTCAAAGGAGGAAAGAAAATGTTTTATGGCTGTCAACATTGATAACAATGACTGTTTATTTGTGTTCCCACTTACATAGATAGTGTTGCATACAAAGGAAAAAATAACTAAATAAAAAGAATAATAATAAAAATATACATTAAAAAGAGTTATAGCATACCGAAGTAAGATCATATATACTTAAGGCTATATCACAGTAATTTATTGTGGTAATATTAAAAAAAAAGTGATAGGAGGAGATCATTTGAGACATTTCAAAAAATTTAATTGGCCTTCTCAAAAACACAGTCATGTTGAAAGCCAGCATGCACCAAAACACCACCCCCCCCCCCCTTCCACAACCCCAGTTTGATGGGAAACAAACTTCATCTATTTCTACTTAAGAACTCTATACTTTTGCATCCATGAGAGAAAAACAGTGCAGAAAACGAAATGAGAAAGGGCTTAAATAACAGGGTCGAAATTGGTGTATATGGTTGCAGATACCCAAGCAGACACTGGGCTTCTTCTAGGCTTCTACCAGCATCTTTCAGTCCCCCAGGATCAGGCAGAGAAATAGGACCACAGTTTGGAATTATTATCAACAGTAAAAGGACATGTATGGAGATAAGTTTGGAGAATTTGTGTGTGGACTGTGACCCAGTCCACAAAGGGCACCTTGCCACAGGACATTTGGGCAAAAAGGGTTATAGCTTAGATGACTGGAGAGGCTGAGGCCAAATGGAGATAGATGAAGTTTTTTGCTTGGTTGTTTTGAACAAAATGTCACAACTAATGAATCTATAGTTGGGACCCTGTTAGGGTAAAATTCTGACGAGCATTATAGCCATGAAACAGCGATGTGTGAACACATATGACATGTTGAAAAACGAAATTAAGGTGGGTTGTAACTGCAACAGTAACTTGGACAATCGCAAGTACAATGGTTTACCAGCTATTTTTTTAACAAGCTGAGACCCAACCCCGGGGAGGGCACTTGGGTATTTTTTGGGTGGATATGTGCCGCCCGGGACTCCAAATTGGCACCCCGTTCTAAAAAACATTTCCCCTAAAATTGATACCCTGTTCTAGAATGGGGCCAATTTTTATACCCCATCGTAGAATTTGCCCTAAAACTGATACCCCGTTCTAGAAATGGGCCAATTTTTTATACTCCGTTCTAGAAGTTTGTAAATTGAAATAGCCCTGTTTTTTTTAAAGATATTTCTTTATTTGTTCAACTTATACATCAAATAAATGCTTCTTCATAATCAGCAACAATTTTAAGCAGAAGATAAAGCCTTGATCCGCAATTTTTTATACCCCGTTCTAGAAAACGCCTCTGAAATGGATACCCCGTTCTAAATCAGGAGCTTCAAAATCACGACCCCATTGGGCGGCACATACCCGTATAGGTAATGTATGGGAGTGCCCCCCATCCCCGGGGACCCAACTAAATAATTCCAAGTTTTAAACTAAAATGATTCTAATGTGTAATCAAAAGAAACGGGAACACTACAACGTACGTACTAAGAAAAACAAGATGGCTCAGTGAAAGATTCAGTGTTCAAACTAAACTAGATACAGCTCAAAAACCATGTAGGATAGGACTTTCATTCACACTAAAAAAAATGGTGATTTGGGCGCGAATTCTGTAACAGCGAAGCTTTGCCCATTGGTGCAATCATTCCCTGTCAAATGGCGGATTACATGAAATCATTTTAACCCAAAGTTAAAATGATTTGGGTTTAATGGCTTACGCGAGTGACATATTTACCCTACCCCCCTCCCCAAGTGAGAATCTCCTCATAGTTATCCTCTTGATGAGTTTCCATAGTAACCTTATCCAGTAGACGGTCGTTTCCACAATTGAGGCCCTTTATCAGAAAATCAAAGGGCCTCTGCTCGCAAAATATTTCCTAACTTACAAGTAAATAATCTTACTGATGGAGAAAATCACGCACCGCATTGTTCACTTGATCAGAATGGACGGGAATCTTCAACGACTCCTGAACTTTAATTCCCTCTTTCTCCGTCAAAATGTTATGACTCAATAAACTGGGGAGGATTTTTTCCTCGCACTCCTCTGCCGTAAATTCCGTATGAAACTGAAATCCCAAAATGTTTTCAGTAAACATAACAATCTCGTGTTTACAAGTACTCGAGCTTGCTAAGGTTTCTGCCTTTGGGGGAAGTTCTTCCACGCATTCGCTGTGCGATTCCAAGACATTTATCGGCCCGTTCTCGAACAATTTCGATGTCACGCCACTTTCTTTTGTGGCTGTGACCTTCTCGGTCTGTAAAATGAATTTTCCAGAGGGGTTTTTGCTAACAACGCCACCTAAGGCTTTAGCAATGAGTTGATGACCAAAACAGATGCCAACCAAGCGCGAAGTAGGTTTTGCGGACAATGAAACGACAAAATTTTCTGCTTGTCTTATCCAACCTTTGTCGTCGTTGACAGAATGGTGACTTCCAGAGAAAACAAAACCGTTAAATTTAGCGAGATCTTCCTCAGAAGGCAGTTCTCCTGCACAAACGTCAAACCAACGCCATTCAGTGTCATCTTGGCGTTCAAAAAGGGTCTTGAAATGCTGTCCTATGTGATCCTTTCCACCCCATTTTTCTGCATCTTCGCAAACTAAAACTGCGAAACGTTTAGGATCCTTGCCATTACCAGACATGATTCTTGATCAATACTTATATGGGAAGTCTTCGAGGAAAGGTTTATGGCTGGGATTTTCCTCTGATGAGATTTACGTAATCCTGTCGCCGGAGCTCCCGCAGATGTCACGAACGAACGAGTCACGAGCCACGAACATTCTTCGTCACACGTTCTTTCACAACCATTTGGCCAATCACAGTACGTTTTTCAAGGTCAGAAGGGAATCGCGCGCAAATATCGCCTCGAATCGGGAAAGTAAGGGCACAGACAGCAAGTAATACATCGTGGAGATAAGGTAAGGAATTTTAATTGGTAATTTTATCATATTCATGTTTTATATTTTTGCCATGATCACACAGCTTGAGCTTGGGTAGTCTGCTACACAGCCGTTTTTAGTGTCGTCACGCAACGCTCCTCCCCACTAGTAGTTAGTGGGGAGGAGCGTGGCGTGACGACACTAAAAACGGCTGTGTAGCAGACTAGAGCTTGGGCCACCTCAAAGCAGCTTGCTTATCCTTCCAAAATTTTGCACTAGCTAACTACAGTCGTGCCAGCATGAGAAATTGAAGGCCATGGTTATACAAAATTTTGGGGGGTAAACAAGGTCAATTTTGAAAGCAAGGACCATCAAAGTTTAAAATGGGGAGGATCCAAGCTGTTCAACCCCCTCCCCTTTTAAGTTTTTTTACACCATTTTTGACAGAAAAAGTACTCGTTTCATATACCTTGCATTGAAAAGTGGTGCCCCCTTAATATATCTACCCTGTAATTCATTAGAGTAAATCGCTTAAAACAGGAAGTCTTCAGGTCGTTTTTGTATAACGTTCATAAGTTGTTGCGGAATTCTTTTAACCCCGCTCAGCTGGTTCAAACAAATCAATAGGGCTGTATCTTTCGATGTAACAACATGATTTAATCCAATCCAACAATCTACTGCGATGTGCAATTCTCACATATTCAACGGTCGTAACACAACGATCAAGGTAACTAAACGATCAACGATCAACTAAAACATTCTAAGTATACAGTGGTTTTTCTACTATCCTTGCGTAAGGCAGTATTTTTACATTAATCACATGTACAGTAAAAGTTCCCATTGTAATGTATCTAAATTAAGTGTCTATTACAAAATCGCACGTTCTTTCACCTTACTTAGCCTAAGAAAATGCATGCAGTTACATCATTTTATATCGTAAATATAATCGGACTTCGTCTACATAATGTCACGAAATCTAACTTCTATGCGCTACAAATGTCAATTTCTAATTAATATTTAATCACAAAATAATAAAGTTAAGCATCACCTATTTCTTTTCCGACGTAAATCAACATGATAAAGTCTTAAGGTGCGCCTTTTCTAATTAAATTTAAATGCTAAAATCATAGCTTTTCCTAACCTTTTCATAACCTTAAACTAGTGAATTCTCTATCCTTTGAGCCCTTTCGCTTGGAATCTCCGGCCCTGTATAGCCATTTTAGGGAGTGTCCTCCCAGCCTCAGCTTAACCATTCTCTTTATAAATTTTTAATCATCATCTTCTTTGGCGACAAATTTCTTTAACGCAGCTACAACTTTCGCTGAATCCAATGGTTCAATGAGAGTTTCTTCACAAAATTTTTGTCCTGCTTTATCGATTTTGCCTGCTGCTAACTTACTAGGAATTAACGCCTTGACCATGTCTTGCACGTTAAATTCAGGATGAGCCTGAATACCAAATATATTTTCCGTAAACTGAATCATTTCATGTTGGCAGGTTGCAGAGCTCGCCAAACTTTGAGCCCCAGCGGGGAGGGATGCAACACAATCCTCATGGGACTCAAGCAATCGTAGAGAACCACGACTCTCGAGAAGATCTCTGAAAGCTCTGTATAATCGATTGTATTGGTCGACTGTTTCGATCTTCTCACTTTGCAGGACAAATTTCCCGGATGGATTGACAGTAACGCTGCCCCCAAGAGCTTCCGCAATAACCTGATGTCCAAAACAAACGCCAACAACGCGAGGCTTTGAGGGATGTTTAGCCGCTGTACGTATAAACGTTTTTAAATCCTCGACCCACTTTGAATCTTCGTTTGAAGATCGGGCACTTCCCGAAATGTAAAAGCCAGTAAAAGTATCTAAATCTTCTTTCGAAGGCAGCTCGCCGTAAATCGTGGAAAATATATGCCATTCTTCAAGCTCAGACTTCCGCTCGTTTCCGAAGACATCGATGTATCGTTTTCCCACACCCAGAACGCCACCAAGTTTTTCATTATCACTGCAAACTAGCACACCATAGTGGGTAACGTTCAACCTCAACGTGTTCGCTGACATTATGACAGATAAAAATGTGAGGCAATCTATAAACGAAACGGTGGACGAAGATAATGTTTAAATACCACAGGTCACCCAAACTCGAAATATGATCGGCGTTGTTGCGTAACATTCGAAAAATAAGGATTTGTATGGGAAAAACCAATCGTTTCTGTAACCTACGAAAATGAAAGGATTTCAATCAAAAACAGCTTGAAAATGTGTGTTACGTCTCTCCTGTGTGATCCATGGGCCGATATATGGCCGTTTTATGGGTTGTACTGTAAACAGTTTTCTCTATATAGAGCAAACCGGTTCCGACTAACACCCATTAAATGGCCATAAATTGGCTCGGAAACCACGCAGAAAAGAAGAAACACACAACTTAAGCAAGGTTAGCCGATTTTTATTTAAATCTTTCACATGCGTAGGCAACAGAAACAATTGTTTTTCTTCCTTACAAATCCCTATATTTTGATCGTTACGCAACAGTGACGATGGTCAGTTTCAGGGTCATATCTTTAGGCCTCTTTTCCCTGGTATTCGGCGGGGAAAAACGGACCTGTGCGAGCAGGGAATTCGAGGTTGGGCCACCTGTGATAATACCGGATCTTGGATGGTGTGCTGCCCGTCATTCTAGAAAGAGAGAGAACGTTTGAGAGAGGACTTTATTTATTCATATCAAAATAGCCCCTTCAGCTTCAAACACCTTAGCACCTGCTATCACGCCCTGAAAAATTACTTGAAATAGAAAACTAATTTTAAAAGCCATACAAAATTAATACAATACCAAGACAAATAAAATGAATAAAAACATTTTAGTTTTAACCTATAGGAAAAACTTTACAACCAATGGTAGACTAGAGAAAATTTAATTAAAAGTTAATTCCGTCGCTGCACGTTTGCGGTGACCACCTGTTAAGACTGTTAACCAAATTTCTTCCGACATTTTTCCCGATTGGGGGGAGGGGTGGGGGTGTGATCCAATTTCGTCCCGCTTATGATTCCGTTTAATACTCTGATTTTTTATTGTCAACGACAAGGTCATAAGAGCTCTTACGACTTCGCGTAATCTTCTGCTTCAACTCCGACTTCCACTCTTCAACTCTCTGTATCTCTCCGACTTCGACTTCAACTCCGACTCCGATTCCGACTTTAACTCCGCTTCCGATTCCGTTTACGACTCCGACTCCAGCTACTCCAACCCGACCCTTACTCCGACTTCAACTGCGTCTCCGACTCTGATTTAGGCCAAATTTTAGAATTAAAACAGGTAAACTGATCCTTACAACAGGAAAAGTAATAGAAAATAGAAAACAAAAATAACATGGTGAATTCTATTTGTCCGATGTTTCGGTTTGGAACACAGTATTTCTGATTCAGACGTCGATTTCGACCCCGACACACGACTTCAACTTCGATCCCGACTCTGACTCCGACACTAGCGAAGGTATTAAAACAAAGCTCTGAGGGATACTTAACAAAGTTTTATATGTGGAGGCACTGCCCTACATATGGCCTAATTAAGCCCTTACTCATTTATATACTATTTTTGACAACGAAAAGGGATGCCTTCCGTATACGCGTATCTTTATTTATTGAAAGATGTCAAGAGAGAATGCACGTATGCCTTTCAAAGGCGGTTATATTCGCAGGCTATTACTAAACTTGTGAATCTAAAGCAGGGAAGCCGTCTTTTCATTCTCATGCAGCGTTTAATAGATAAGAAAAAAATTCAGTCCTGAGGTGCTTCTGCTTCTATTCGAGATATTTTGGGCCTTAAGAGCCTTTTTTAATACTTAATCCCTAACCTTTCTTATCGATCATGAAAGCTCCTATCCTGTTATATTTTAAAATACCATGCAGGGCCGGGTTGTTCAAAACTGGGTTCAGATAAACCAGGGTTAGTGCGAAATTTGAACTCAGATATGAAAGCATAAAAACAAAACTCTTCAGGGTCACAACAATCGTCACAGACAGAACACTCGTCAGAGTCACAATTCAAATTGAACAAAAGAAAAAGAGGCCCGGATTAAAAATTATCTCCCGGGTTAGCGCTAATCGACGTTCAAAGAACTGGGCCTGGAAGCCAAAAACAGGCCCCCTTTTTGGATGGAGACTCTCCGGCTAGAGGACTATTATCAAGAGTTCCCCATCGTGGCGCAGAACGCTGATTGTAATGGTGGGCACATCGCTCTGGGTGCTTTCCTTTGGGATGATCCGGATTAGGATCAGTGATCCGAGATCACTTGGATCATGGTAGATCAAATGAACCGATGAATCCTTGTCCCGAGTGGATTAATCGGTTCATTTGATCTACCATGATCCAAGTGATCTCGGATCACTGATCCTAATCGGGATCATCCCATACCTCCGATCTCTCCATACCTTATACGTTGTTCCTAGAGACCAAAAGAAAAATTAACGGATTGAATAAACCTTTAATACTCATATCATGCGACTTTTCCCTTAATTTAGACAGTTATCCTTTCTGACAAAAATAGCTATAATTTGGCACTGACTCCTTTATCAACTTTACAATGTTCTTTCTATTTGTCAAGTATCCTCTTTAGACGCAAATTTCTTCAATGCAGCCACAACTTTTGCTGAATCCAATGGCAGATTAAGAGTTTCTTCGCAAAGTCTTTGTCCTTTTTGGTCAATTTTACCTCTAGCCAACATACCAGGAATTATCACTTCTTTGTAATCTTGCACATTAAATTCTGGATGAGCTTGAATTCCACATATATTTTCCGTAAACTGAACCATTTCATGTTCGCAGGTTGCAGAGCTCGCCAAACTTAGAGCTTTAGCAGGGAGGATTTCAACAAAGTCTCTATGAGACTCAAGCAATCGTAGAGAATCATGGCTCTCAAAAAGCTCTCTAAAAGCTTTGTGGCCTTGAAAGCGAAAATGTTCCTTAGCTTTGATCTTCTCGCTTTGTAGAACAAATTTCTTCGACGGAGAGGAAGTTACTTTTCCTCCCAGTGCCGAGGCGATAACCTGATGTCCAAAACAGACGCCAACAATACGAGGCTTAGCAGGGTGTTGGAAAGCTCTTCGGATAAATGTCTTCAAATCGTTGATCCACTTGAGGTCTTCGTTTGGAAGCAGAGGACTTCCGGAAATGAAGAAACCGGTGAAAGTATCTAAATCTTTTTCCGACGGCAGTTCGCCGTAAACTGTGGAAAATATAAGCCATTCTTCTTGCTCAGGGTTGCTCTTATTTCCAAATACATCGATATATCGTTTTCCCATACCAATAATTCCACCGAATTTTTTATCGTCATGACAAACTAGCACACCGAAGCAAGGGCGGTTTATCCTAGACTTGTTCGCTGACATTTTGAAGGCACAAATGAGTTAAAGTCTGATAGTGAAGCCACTCCCAACATCAGGTAGAAACTCCAGTTTAGTGCTCAGTTTCAGCAGCTGTGCCTGATCGATCTGATTAGAGATTGGTGGACTAAAGTAAAATTCATTAAAAATTTAACGCTTATTACTTCAACCACCTGTTAGCAAAATTTCTTCGTTAAATCTCCCAGATCATTAAAGATAGGTCAGTCGTGAAAATTATTACCATACGGTAAGGGGAAAGTGCGTCTAAATTTACCATCGCTAAGCATAACAAATCCAGCCTATCTTGGCAGAGGATGTAGTGAGGGGAAAGCCAAGAATAATGTCGTCAGTTCCCCTGGAGACAAACGGGCTCGAAACCAACCTCGTCCCCAGGGCGCTTTTCCCTAGATTTGAAAGCCAGGGAAAAGCGCCCTGGGAACGAGGTTGGCTCGAAACACGTGACCCGAAACGCATATGCCGCGCGGAATAATGAGGCCAAGGGACTATTGACCCTATTAGGCAAAGTATTAAAGAACTATATTAACCCATGGACGGTTGCGACGTCACCAATTAAGTAATTTAAGTTTGCTTTAGGGGGGAAATGGTATTGGCAACCTACTTTTTTGGCGGGAAATCGCAAGTTCAACGGCGTAATCTGAAGATGATGCGCCAGTTCTTTGTTCCCCATCCCTCCTCCCTCTTCCTCGTCGATGACCGGGGCATTTACTTAATGCATGTAAACGAAAGGAAATCCCTCCTCCCCCCTCCTCCTCCGGCCAATGAGGCTAGTTAACTTTCCCGCACCAACATGTCAACTCGAGTTTTGTCGCAGTGGTAATTGAAATTTTTAAGCAATTGCAAATACGTGGGGAACCCGGAAAAAATTCGGGACTTCAACGGGATTCAAACCCATGGCCTCTGCGTTAGCGCTGGAGTGCTCTACCATTTGAGTTATAAAGACCCATACATTGGGAGCAGGCCAATTTGTTGAGTTCATCTTAATCCGTGAGAGGTGTGAATTTTTATGTCGTCGCGCAAACGCTTTGTCTAAAAATGTTAAAGATTTTGATCATCTTCTCCAGGCGTTCTACGTTGCAGGTGACCTATAGCTAATGGCTATATCTGGCTTACATTCAACATGTATCTGATTAGAAATGGAATGTTCCGTCACCTGCTTGCATTATACCACCAGGTCCAGGCTGTTGTTTAAAAGGTAAAGTAGTACATACGGAAGCTCTTCCAGACCTGTATTTTCATTGGCCTAAATAAGCAGTAGCGTCTTTTGCTTTGAGGTATGGGTATTAGGGCCATTTATACGAGGAAAAATAAGACGCGAACTGTACCATATATAAGAGCATGTCTTGGACGAAAACAGCTCGTATAAATGGTTCGCGTCTTATTTCTGTTCTTGATTCGTTTTCGTGTAAATCTTGTCCGTAGCAACGGCAATCCAACGTGGCGTGCCAAAAATTAACGCATGCGTACTATGCGTTCGCTTTTTATTTAAGACGCGAAGGTCATTTACACGAAGTTTTTCTCGTCTTAGCTAAGACGCGTCTTATCTAAGAACAGGTGTTAAGGGCTGTTCTAAAATATGACGCGTCTTAGCTAAGCCGCGTCTTATTTTAGTCGAAATGTGCCGTTTATACGGAAAGTTCGAGTCTTATTTACACGCGTCCTATGTAAGACGCGTCTTATTTTTCTTCGTATAAATGGCCCTATTGTTTCTGTTGTATCAGCTACTGCTTCATTCTTCAATCACTCATCATGTCTGGAGAGCTACTGAGCCTCTCAAAAGATGGAAAGCCGCATCCACCGCTGGATAAATCTCTATTTATATTTTAGTGCATTACGCCGCGACTATTTGTTTTATTCTGATACTTACATACGATTGACTCCCCATAACTCGAACCTTCTAGGGAAGTCGAAGTATCGGTAGTTAGAAGCAAATAACCGAAAATAAGGAAATGGGATGGGGAATGAATGCAATTAACTTTAATGCGTGATAAATACCCAGTGCTGGACAATGTATTAAACTTGACTGACGACGACAACATGGTTGTTAAGATAATGTTAATGTTTTTTACTGCAGTACACTTTTTTTCGACTTCTCAGGTGCTTAAAGCATGGTTAGAGTTATCGAGGGTAAATTTATATAAAAATGATCTGTAAGGGAAACAAAAATTACTTCGGTTCAAGATATCGAGTGTTCTAGTTAACGTAGGTAAAATTACAGTAAATGCATTAAGGAAATCCAGGCGAATTGAATTTTGGTTTGAGTCAGCCCGAGGTTCGAGATAGCGAGGAGCTTCAATCTTTACAGTTAAAATCTTAAAGTGTACCCTGTACAAGGGCAGTTGTAGAAATATTTTCATCGTCCGCAGTGTCCTCAGTGGACCACGAGGTTAATTCCTCAGGAAAAGAGAATCGAAGTAGGCATTCCTGTACTGGAACATTCGCCGACAAACTCTCCACCATGCTGTAAAGATTTTTACCAGCCACATATACTGATTTATTAGACGTTCCAAATGAAACAATAATGTATTAATTTTGGCCTTGGTCATGTTATATGTCTTTAGACTTCTTGTTTCTCTTTCATCGTGGCCAATAAAACCTCTTTCTTAGTTACGCTGATTACTAGAGTGAGTCATTTGCAGCGGAAATTTATGGAATGGAAAAAAGTTTTCCATCCATAAATTTCAGCTGCAAACGACCCACCTTGGTGGCCGTGCTGTGTACTTCACGCTCCTCTTTCAATGTCTTCTTTTCTCCTTCTAATACAAGGAGAAAATGGAAATGTGTTTCTGCGGTAGGGGAACACATATCACTAGGGATATGTGTTTCCCGTGTGGGGGAACACATATCACTAGGGATATGTGTTTCCCAGGTGGGGGAACACGAATCACTAGGGATATGTGTTTCCCAGGTGGGGGAACAATATTGTCTACCCGGTTCCCCTGAGTCCATGGTTGTGTTACCACTCAACACGTGTTCTTCGAGTTTCCTTGATGCAAAAACTTTCAAAAAGGTTTCCCTCAAAAAACGCATCACAACTGACCCATGGCTAGGGGAAGAGATGAGAGATTGGCCATGTCTTAAGGATTTGACGGTGAATCAGTGCGCGGTTCTTTGATTCGGGAGAGATTTGGGAGTTGAAACTGCACACAGTCACCTGCCTTGCTTCGCTTTATGAAGGAAAACAACACCGAACAAACAACGAGCCGCCAAACCGTATAAAATGGCCATGAATTGAGCCCCGGTTACACAAAAAAGCAGCAACAGGCCCAAGTTGACGTAAGTACAATTTATTTCTATATTCATGCCTATATTTCTACGTTTTAACGTTGAATTTCTCATACAAAGTCGTTCGTAATATGCAAAACAGTATCGAAACTCCCGGTAATTTATGCACCGAGTTTGGGCGCCTGTGCCATGATCCGCCCCAGAGGGGACGGTTTTGGCTCCTAATTTTTACAGGAAATTCATAAATTGTCTACTAAAACATTATGAAATATAAAATAAGGGCCAATTTAAGCACTAAAAGCTGCTCCGATATCTCAGAATTAGAAGATAACTGGAGAAATTACTCAGAATTAATGCAAAAAGGTGCTCGAAATACGAGAAGTTGCCAAAAAGTTGCCGAGCTGCCGAGGAACCGGTTGTGGAAATCCCTAACTGCACTTGTACAGGGTACACTTTAAGTTTTTAACTGTTAAGACCGAAACTCCTCTCTATAATCTAGAAAAACATCAAATCATAATCCGGTCAACAAACGCTCCAACTTATTCCATACAGGAGTTGCCTTCTGTTTTAAGTGCATCCGACTGCGGCCTACTACAACGAGAAGTAAATATCTTTTCACCAGATGTTCCAGATGTTCCAGCTGATCGACGTTAGCGGCCCAGAGTGGCTTTTGTTCTTCGATTAATGGTAACCGATCAGAAGGTTAGATCAGAAGCATTAACAAAAACAAAGCGCTTCTATGGACCCAGAAAATTTTAGAAAGAAGAAATTGCACAATGGCAAAAGATCAGCAGCAGTTCTTTTGGTGCAATATCAATTTGCGCGTCGCCATTTTCCGCCAGTAAGGAGCAGGATTCATGTACAACACTTCAAATCACTCCTTCTCGACACACAAGAAAGCAAACAAACGCATCCTGAAACTTTGCACCTCGCTTACCCAAAATGACGGAAAGAACACGTGCCGAACAAGAAAACGCCCAACTTAAAGGGAAGAACTACAAATGGGCAAAATTGGACACATATCACTGTTTACAAACATTGCTTTTGTTACTCAAATTTTTATGGAGTGGAACAAAAGAATCTTTTGTTAAGAACCAATCCGCTGCCCTTTATAAGATCGGACACATTTCAAAAGAGATAGATTATTGATCAGAAGTGGTGGAAGATCAGGTTTGGTTCGGAGCTTACAAATTCATGTTGTTTTGCGATGGCCACTGAAAGGTGCTGCCAAGATCGGATTGTTGCATTGAAGTACGAAATAAAACTTCTTCACTGACTTAAATCATTTTGCACTTAGTGTTAGGGATTAGGTTGAAATAAAACATGAAATTTCAGTCAGTGATGCAGTGAGAGCGTATTTCCAAATGTTAAAGCGGAATAGTTGTCTGAATTGACGATTCTCGACATTTCTCGAGTGACGGTACCTAGAAACTAGAAATATATTCTTTTCGAGTTGTTGTGGAACTTTGAACATGATTGAAGATGGCCTGGGGCCCGTTTCTCGAAAGTCCCGGTAACTTTTCGGGCCCGAAATCAAATATTCAAATCGAAATAAAAAGAATAAGAGCGCGGCCCCTGGCAAGCAAACTACTCCATTTTGTTTCTTTAACTGATAGTTTTATCATGTTAGATGCAAAACTATTGAAACCTCTATCTTTAATGGAAACCGAGACAGCTTACCAGGCCCGTTAATTATCGGGACTTTCGAGAAACGGGCCCCTGATCATGATACCCAGGGTATAATGGGACTGCCAGGTGCAAAGTGTAGAGTAGCCCTATAAGTAAGAACTCGCCTAGACGGATGGACGGACGGAAGGTCGTGTGACTGCCATATGTGCCATTACCGGAGACGAAACAAAGAGTGGAGGCCAAGTAATTTGGCAATCTTGATTGGACAAATTTATTACACATTCTGCTTAAGATTTCTCATACAAAATTGAGAGGAGTTTCGATAACACCCTTCTGAAAGGGTTGTCTAGATCACATTTCAGGGGAAATAAAATGGTTCTTTTATAATTCGTGAAATTAACAAACAGAGTGAGAATCTCAGTTCATGGCGAATTAAGTATTAATTATTATTTTATTCTGGTCACAGGTAACCCAAGCTCGAAATATGAGCATCGATGTTGCGTAACATTCGAAATATAAGGATTTGTATGGGAAAAAAACCTATCGTTTCTGTAACCTACGAAAATGAAAGGATTTCAATAAAAAACAGCTTACCTTACTTAAAATGTGTGTTACGTCTCTCCTGTGTGGTCCACGGGCCGATTTA